GACATGAGAAGGAGAGCAGAGAGGAAGATGAAGGTTTTGCAAGAATCCCTGTAGTCTCATGATCATTTTTACTGAAATTAGCATTCTGTTCCACGAAAGTACCAGGCAGAGACCATTGACAACACAGAGAATTCAACAATCACCCCTTGAAATTCACTGGCAACACTATCAGTGAATCTCCCACCAATATTCTCATGGACGTTAACATTGAGCAAAAACTGAGTTGGATAAAAACAGTGGAGTGTGATGAAATACTCCCCACCTGCCTAGGTGGGTGCAACTCCAGAAATACTCAAGAAGCTCGACACCATCCAGGACGTAGCAGTCTGCTTGATTAGCACCACACCCACAAGCATTCACTCCCTCCACCGTCGATGCGCAGTAGCAACAGTGTATTACCAGCTGCTAGGTGCACTGCAGAAATTCACCAAAGATCCTTAGACAGCACCTTCCAAACCCACAACTTCTTCCACCTAAAAGGACAAGGACATGGGAAAACCAACCCCTGCTCCCTAGCCTAAACCAATCCCAACCTTAACCCAAATCCTATTGAAACATCCCCTCCAAACCACTCACCATCTTGACTTGGAAATATATCAGTGTTGCTGAGTCAAAGTCCTAGAACTCCCTCCCTAACGACATTGAGTGCGAGTCCCTACAACACACACACTGCAGTGGTTCAAGAAGGCAGCTCGCCATTACCTTCTCAAGGGAATAATTAGGGGAATAAATGCTGGGCCCAGCCAGCAATGTCCACACCCTGTGATAGAATGAGAAAAAAAATAGATAAATTGGATTTAACCTTCCCATATTTTAGCTGCCATTGGATTTGAACTCACATTTCTGGTGTGTTTATGTTGGCAATATTAATTATCCAGAATTATCACTCCAACTCTCCATCCTTATGTGGCTCAGGTTGAAGTTTTCACTAACATCCTCGTAAATCTTGGTCGGCATGGGCAAGTTGGACTGAAGAGGATGTTTCCATATGTCTATGATTGTATTCCAATAAAGTGTTTGGGACATTGTACAATTTCATCCAAATGTGATTTAGCATTAGTTTCAAGTTATTTATCTGTCTTGAAGTTATGGACCAGTTTCAAGGGGATGAATGGCCTCAGGCCTGCTCCTATTTTCTAACATTCTTCATGTGTGCATTCCTGCTCTCACTAAAGACTTTTTTCCTCTTTGTTTAGGGACATTTCTAATCTATGCACACCTCTCTACATGGATGACAATCCTGTTCCTGCCACTGATGAAGATTATATTATGATGGTCACTCCTCTTCCTCCCTGTAGCCTGGACCTCTGGGTTCTACCTTCCTTCCTCACACACCCTTGACTAGAGAGTCTCAGAACACAGTCTCTGAACATGAGAAGGGTCAGCCATTTTGGACCGAGATGAGGAGTAGCATCTTTGCCTGAAAGCAACAGAACTCTCCTCCTCCTTTAAAGTTTGTGGGTTAGAGGGAGCTCAATCGCTGAGAATATTCAAGACAAGAGGCCAAAGGATTTTGATCAGCAAGAATGCAATCCAGAGGGTAGGGTGAAATTAGGGATGTGGATCATGGGGCTAAGCCAGAATTCGTTACCCATGACTGTCTGCATCCATAAACATCCACTCCCTCCACCACTGATGCTCAGTAGCAGCAGTGTGTACTGTCTGCAAGATGCACCGGAGAAATTCACCAAAGATCCTCAGACAGCACCTTCCAAACCCATGACCACTTCCATCTAGAAGGACAAGGACAACAGATACATGGGAACACACCTTCAACTTGCCCTCTGAGCCACACAACATCTGGACTTGGAAATATATTGCCTTTCCCTTCACTGTTGTTTGGTCAAAATCCTGGAATTCCCTCTCTAAGGGCATTGTGAGTCAACCCACAGCAGGTGGACTGCAGCGGTTCAAGAAGGCAGCTCACCACCACCTTCTCAAGGGGTAACTAGGGACAGGCAATAACTGCTGACCAGCCAGTGATGCCCATGTCCGAATAATGATTATATAAAAAGAAGGGAACTGGCTTTGAGTAGGTGGCAGTGTGCCACCGACAGCACTGAGGACCCTAAAGCTTTCAAACCATTGGCATTTCTTGGACAGTCTCAAGTCACTTTAGCCCCACTTTCAGGACAAGACAGAGACAACTGGGTGGTGGTTTAACCTGAGGGTCATCACGCCTCAGGCAAGGGGAACGGTTGAGAAGGAGAGTCTTTTGATAAACAATTGCCCAATCAACTGAGCTAACAAACCCCCAACAGGAACCAACAAAACTAGTGATGCCCAAATCCTGTGAACAAATTTTAAAAAATCGACGGGGAGATAAACCAAATGTAGAGGGGTTCTGTTTATTTTTCTCTTGTGTCATTGGTGAATATCACCATATTTAATTACCCTTGAACTGGGTAGCTTATTCAGCAGGCTTCAGATAACAACCATGCAGGAAGTTTGATATTTGAATGGTAAATCTTTGTTTTCAGAAAAGGGGGATGTTGCAACATAATGTTCATATACATTTAGTGAGCCAATCGTAGGCAATCATTGATGTATTAAGCATATGACAGTCTGAAGTATCAGTGGTTGGACTCAGATGTACAACACCCACAGTGTTTGCAAATCTATTGTCTGTCTCATCCAAAAATAAAGCACACATTTTCTTGCTTCAAGTGATTGGCATTACATGTGTTAAAGAGAAGAATGTAACAGGGGAGCAGGGAGGTGGGGAAATGCGGCAACAGAGAGTGAAGAGGTATGGAGTTCAGGCTGAAAGGAGGACATGCATCATTCCAGCAGGCTGAATGGCCACCCTCTTCTGTCTTGCGATACTAACAGAATTTTCACCACCTGAAACTATGACCATTGAGTATTCAGCGAACCCGAACAGAATGCAGGTTCCTCGAGCAAAAACCCAGAAGATGACCCAGGGACAGAAAGGTATTGGAGAATGAGAGACAGTGCAGAAACAGGCCATTCGGCCCCACGTTCTGTACTGGCATGAGTGCTGCCCTTTTTCAATTCTTCATCCTACCCCATCAATTCTATTCCCTTCACCCTCTACTCGTTACCCCTTAAATGCACCAATACTTTCCACCTCAACCACTCCCTGTGGGAGCGAGTTTGTCTCTCTGGGGACAGAGACTTCTCCTTAATTGCACTTGTTCATGATTGTCTGACACTTGTTGCCATGAAAGACAGCTTCATCTCAATATCAACATAATGAAATCCAAAGATTAAAACAGTTAGGACTATATTCATTGAATTTAACAAGAATGAGAAGGGGAATCTCATGGAAACCTATAAAATCCTAACAGGATTAGACCTGGTAAATGCTGGACGGATCTTCCTGATGACTGGGAGTCCAGAACCAGGGATCACAGTGACAGGATATGAGGCAGGACTGAGATGAGGAGAATTTTTTTCACCCAGACAGTGAAGAGCCTGTGAAATTCTAAGATTGTAAGAGTTGAAATCCACCATTCAATGAGATCGTGGTTGATCTGACAATCCTCAACTCTACTCATCTGGCTTTTCCCCTCAATTACCTTTCTGACTAAAAATCCATCTATCCTAGCTTTGAATATACTTCACAAGTCAGCCTCGACAACCCTCTGTGGTAAAGAATTCCACAGATTCTCTGCCACAGAAAGCGGTTGAAGCCAAAACATCGAATGTTTTCAAGAAGGAGATGCACATAGCTCTTAGGGCTAAAGGGATCAAAGAGTATGGGGGAGAAAGCAGGAACGGGGACTCAATTAGGTGATCAAGCTCAATCTTATTGTATGACCGAGCAGACTCGAGTTACTGAATGGAACCTACTCCAGCTCCTATTTTGTTTCTATGCCTGGCCAACTTGCACTATAGAGTCATAGAGATATACAGCATGGAAACTGACCCTTCAGTCCAAATTATCCATGCCGACCAGGTATCCTAAATTAATCCAGTCCCATTTACCAGCATTTGGCCTATATCCTTCTAAACCCTTCCTATGTGTGCACCCATCCAAATGCCTTTTAAATGTTGTAATTGTACCAGCTTCTACCACTCCCTCTGGCAGCTCATTCCATACACACACCACCCTCTGCTTGAAAAAGTTGCCCCTCAGGTCCCTTTTTAAATCTTTCCCCTCTCACCTTAAAACAATGCCCTCTAGTTTTGGACTCCCCATGCCACTCATGATTTTGTAAACCTCTCTAAGGTCACCTCTCAGCCTCCGATGCTCCAGCGAAAATAGCCCAGCCGATTCAGCCTCTCCCTGTAGCTCAAGCCCTCCAAGCCCGGCAACATCATTGTAAATCTTTTCTGAACCCTTTCAACTTTAAAAACATCTTTCCTATAGCAGGGAGACCAGGACTGAATGAAGCATTCAAAAGTGGCCTAACCAATGTCCTGTCCATCTGTGAAATGACTTCCCAACTCATATACTTAATGCACTGACCAATAAAGTCAAGCATACCAAACACCTTCTTCACTATCTTGCCTCCTTGTGGCTCCACTTTCAAGGAACTCTGAACATGCATTCCAAGGCTACGTGAGTCTTCAGCATTAACCCTTTCAGCTCCAGAACTATTTCCACACACAAAGGGTGGCGGAAGGATGGAGTGGAATGGAGCGAAAGACTGCAGAAATCTGAATCAGACAACAGAAATTGCTGGAGAAACTCAGCAGGCTCTGTGGACAGAGAGATAGAGAGAAAGAAACAAGAGTTAACATTTCAGGCTCAAAGACCAGAGTCCAGCTCTGAAGAAGGGTCATGTTACCATAAGACAATGTTAGTTCAGTGTATTGGCCGTTCCCACCATTAACTTAACCAGGTTAGGGTGAGGGAAGGTGGTGGGGGGGGGGGGGGGAGGACCGGGGGTGGTGGTGGCAGGTGTGTGAGAATGGAGACACTGTCCAAACACTTTGCTAAATCATTCCCCACCCCCAACCCACATCCTCCGGAACCCTTGGCAACCACACAGGAAGCTGGTGATGTCAAGAACAGGAAGAAAGAGATTGTCACATTTTGCTGACTACGGTGAAAATGGCAGCTCCCATGAGTGGTGGGTTCTTGAGATAGCATCTGCTGCAGAAAAGTGAATTCCTTGTTGCTTTCTTCATAGCAACACCTCAGGCTGCCAATCAGGGCAGAAGTGCCAATCAATCAGCACTTTTCCTGCCCCCACTGACCGAACTGTAAATTGTTGCCATGAATTTGGCATTCTTGCACTTGCATCCTGATGAGTGCGGGAGGTAAAAGTTAAGGCAACATATCTTTCTTTTAGACACCCTGTACTGTATTTATATAGCAGCTCTGACCAGCCCATTTTTGCGGAGGGCAGGAAGGTTGCTGGGGATTGGTTGATTGTGATTGGTTGAGGCGTTGCCTGGGAGAAATCGTCAGGGGACTACAAGGCCCCTGCAGCTTACAGATGGGGTCAAGTCCTCTGTAAGCAAAGTGATTATGCCACGTGGCATAGTGGTTAGCACTGCTGCCTCATAGCACCAAGGACCCAGGTTTGATTTAACCCTTGGACAACTATCTGTGTGGAGTTTTCATGTTCTCACTGTGTCTGTATGGGTTTCCTCCCACAGTCCAAAGATGCTTACATTGGGTGGATGAGCCACACTGCCCCATAGTGCCCAGGGGTCTGTAGGTTATGTGGATCAGTGATGACGTAGGTGGTTAGAGGGTTGATGTGGACTCAATGGACTGAATGGCCTGCTTCCACACTGTAGAGATTCCTTCCTGAACTTTTTTTAAAAAAATTACCCAACAACTGAGGGAATCCCCATTGCTTTCTCCCTAGCAATGCCCCAGCCAATCAGAGGAGAAACGCCAACAAATCAGCAACCTTTTCCCCTGCAGTGTAAACTGTTGTGATAAATTTGGCATTCTTGCATTTGTATCCTGATAAGTGCAAGCAGAAAAGCTGAGGCAATGTGTCTCTCTTTTAGCTTTGTTCACGCTCTGTTCTATATTTATGTAGAGCCTTTCATGTAATGAAACAGTCCAACATCCTTCACAAGGGTGCCGTAGAACAAATCTGACTCAGAACCCTAGAAAGAGATATTAGGTCAGTTCTAATGAGTATCTTAAAGGTAGGCAATGCTGACCATGATGCCATTCTAAACTAATCCCATCTGCCTGCTCATGGTCCATACCCCGCTATTCCCTGACTGTTCATGTATTCGTCTAAATGCCTCTTAAACTTTGCTATCATATCTGCTCCTGCCATCTCCTCTGGCCACACATTCCAGGCACCTACCACTCTCTGTGTAAAAATCTTGCTTCTTACATCTCTTTTAAACTTTACACCCCACCAACACCCCCACACCTATGCCCTGTAGTATTTGACATTTGCACTCTGGGGAAAGAGTCTTCAATATCCACCCTATCCATGCCCCACATAATTTTATATCCTTTGATTTTGGAAGAAGAAACAAGATGAGGGAATATTTATTGAACGGCAGGATGCAGGATAGCTCAAAGGAGCAGAGCCATCTTGATATGATTATTCATAGATACAATACAATACAACACAGGATCAGGCCATTCAGCGCACTAAGCCTGTGCCAATTCCTAACCCTTATTTAGACCCACTACTTAATGCACATGCACGGTATCTATCCCTCTGTTCACCTCCTGTTCATGTCTCTATCAAGATACAGTTTAAATGTTGCTAACATGCTTATTTCCACCACTTCCACTGGCAGTGCATTTCTCACCACCCTCTGTGTGAAAAATTTTCCCCTCACTTCTCCCCCAAACTTTCCCCTCTCACTTGAACTTATGCACTATTGTAGTTCACCTTTCCACCCGAGGAAAAAGCCTCTGACTATCCACCATATGTGTGCCTCTCAAATGTAGACCTCTGTCAAGTTGCCTCCTCAGCCTCTGTCTTTCCAGTGAAAACGATCCGAGTTTCAAATCCGACTTCAGATCCCTGAAGTTGGCAGAACATGTAAATAGGACAGCTAAGAAGGCACATGGGGTGATGTGCTTTTAACAGTCATCGCATAGAGAATGAGCAAGGAACTAGGCCTCTTACTCAGTGGTAGGCCTCACCATCACTATAGTGACCATCAGCTGGCCCCTGTGCAGATGCCCCCATCGATTGGTGGAGAACATTATACTGCATCCATTCCTGGGAAACCTTGTGGAGGGGCTTGGGTAGGGAGTCAGATGTACTGGGCTATTTATCATTTTGGAAGGCTTTGATGCTTCAGACTGAGGCCAGGGCTACAAACATTTTTTGCTTGTGCCTTTTCATAAACAAAACCTGAACTCATCACTTTTCAATCTATTGTCTTTCCGGATCAAAAAGAAAAGCAGGAAATGCTGGAAAATCTCAGCAGGTTGAGTGTCAATAGTCAATCTCAGTTAATAGTGCATTGACTAGGCTAAATTGCCCCATAATGTGCAGGCTAGTTGGGTTAACTCTGGTAAAGGTGGGGTATGACTCTCCTTTGACATCTTGTGCCTGTTCAAGTTCTGCATTGAGTGGATGGTTGGCAGGGCAATAAGAACAAAAAAAATAAGTGAGGTGTGTGAGTTTTGAGCCAGTTCCCTGAGGGAGGAGAAAGACAGAAAGCAAGGCATAATGCTCGCACCCAGAATCAAACTGGGGACCCGTTCGCGTGAGGCAAATGTGACAACCACAACACTATGGAAACTGCACTGCAG